AATTCGATTCGGTTCGGCCAGGGATGGGTCGACAGGTTTCACAACGACTTGTAAACCAGATTGTCGATGCATTCATTGACAACCTGCCAATGCCGAATGATGACAACCGAAACTGGTCACAAGATTACCGTGAAGATAACTGACGGCTGATGACAACACGTCTCGACGATGCTTGCCACAGCGAACGAATTTCGTAATCAGACACTCCCTGTTCTACACGGTCGGTCATCACCGAGTCGAAGTCAAAAACGGCAACAGCGGCACTGAGGTCACGAAAAAACTTTATCACGCTACAGTCAAAGGTTTCTCCTGTCTGCACATATTTTGTTTCGCAACCGGCCATTTGACATTTGTCCGTTTGTGTAATATTTCTGTTACAGGACGCCAAGGAGAAGGTATAAGAAACATGTATGCCTTAGCATTTGGGGTGACAAGAACATAAGACAATGCTAGACGATCGGATTGCATCTTTTGTCCAGAAACCGTAAACCTGGAGAATAGGAGCAAAAACAAGAGAATCCTGAATTTACACTTCTACCTACATGTTACCATTATTACATGGACGTGTACAAAACATCTATAAAACCATGATATACGCAACGGCAAAAGCAGATGTACCTTGCCGCTGGTCCTCATGTTGCGCATATCAGTATGACAGGCAGACAAATTAGGAAACCATTGTGAGCATTTAATACCACAACCTGATCACTTGCCTCAAATTCTTGTGCACATTTTAAACGAATACTATGGAGGAAGCAAATAACAGAATGCATGTTGTAATAGTTTTGTCCAGCTGTCTGCCATCAAATAAACCTACTTGTAGTGGTATAAGCTAAATTGGCACGAAAAGAGCTACTGAACTAAGACCATAATGAATATCTATATTCTAATTCAACGGTAAATGGTTGGTTGCACCATCATAAGTTGAAAGATTCTTTCGTGACCGACAGCGCATAAAATTCGACACATCGACACTCGCGTCAAGAATGAATGAAAAACAATAATCACCTCAACGTAACTTTAAATATAGAATATACAGCCCTAATTTTCTACATGTACAGTACTCCTGTAACTCATCCTGCAGACCGTTTGCAGCCATTAAAACCTAGCGTAGCATAACCTTGATCCAACCACGGTCTCTTCTTGCGGCATATTCGATTCATTTCGATTTCAAATTTTTTCTTTGCAATTGCAACCAAAGCACAAACTGTTGTTCATGATTATGCCCATTTGTTCGATTTTCCTACTTTTGTCTACTTCTTCATCTTCATCTTCCGTATCTGCTTCTTCTTTCGGGTCGCGTCCTATTTTTTGTTGACCTTAAATTCATCCTTCCGTGAAATGTTATGAACGTCACATATATTGAGTAGCATTTGTCCTTTGGGTTCATAATAAACACTGATCGTGATCTGAGCATCCTTTCCTTCATAGCATTTCCCATCAGAACATCTCTGATCTTTCAAAGGTGCTCCATACTATTTGTAGAAATTTGTTAATTTCATAGAAATAAAAATTGTTGCCGAGATCAAATGTATTCCAAATTTTTGGTATTATTTAGAACTCTTTTGCAACTCTGTTGTAGTCATGTTGTTGCTTCTAGTCAGGTAATTGGCAGAATTTTTATTTATCTGTGAATTAGGTACTAATAGTATTCACGAAGACAACTCCTTATCCATCTGCTTTAAACTATGAAACTTAAGATCTTACACTGAAGATTCAAGTAATAAAGGAGTTTTGAAACCTAATTTATACAAATGTAATACAGTATAAAAATATAGCAACATTCCACCGCCTGGGTCAGAATACGTCGAGAATCTATATCCTTAATGATCCGATGATTGTCGTGATACAATGATGGCAAAGAATCAAATGTTACATTATGTATGTCACTGCGTGTTATATGTCACTGAATATTGATATGCTATTAAAAACTGAGGAAAACATGCCAATTGTCACGTAGAGGGTAGGGCCTTCGAGTGAAATGTGTACGTCTCTCTCCGAGATGAAATTCAAAGCGCAGAAATTGGATAACAGACGAATTAAATGACATAATTTCTGCCTATTTCGATTCCAAAGAAAAGGTGAGTCAGATGAGTTACTCGTCTGAGAGATGATTGATGTCAGAAGTTACAAACTTGCGAATCCATGACGAGAACCAGTCGGATAACGGATATTGGACAGAAACTGTTTTGGACGCAGTGGTTAGACTAGCTTCATGTGACGATAACCAAACTGGCATTAACATCGGTCTGCTGGTTGTTTCTATAGCCACCGAATTTCTATCAATTTATTGAACCAAACTAAGCTGACAACGAAAGTAGTAATTGGTCGTTCATCCATGAAAGGTCTTTGAGCTTGCTTTCAGGTGGCCGCTATGTTGCCGCTGGCAAACAAATAAATATATGGCCTTAAAACGAAGACAGCCTCATTAGTCGTACCAAAACTGAACCAACCTTGTCAAAACGTCGACGGCATTTTGGGACAACGTCACTCACGATGGCCAGAGGCGAAACGTGCGAAGAAACGTCGAACACTTCCATTAATGAACCTGCCGAAGGACAAGCGCAAAACGCAACAGCAAAGGGTCCTTGATGGAAGTAGCCGCCAGTCTCTTGGTTCAAACCGGATGAGTAAACGAAATTCTCTATTGTATGACCTCGAAAGTGCTATGAGCGAATCGAGAGCTGTTCAAACATGATTGGTAACGCAATGGACAAAACGACAACTTGCAGGTTAAAGGTTTCCACGGTGTAACCGATCACTTCCTGGTATTTATTTTGATGCTTCATACTTTAGTATGGCCGTAGTATCTTTAAACGGGATCAGATATGTCCTGTTACATTGTTCTTGCAAAAGTCCATCTTTTCAAAGTCAAAGTAGCGATAACCCATTACAGGTTGTCATCACATATCGAATTTATTATCTGCATGTTCGGTAGATTTGCAGGAAGTGACATAAAGAGAAGCAAAGTTGTCAAATTTTGTTTTTTATGACGTAACTTCCTCAAACCGGATCAAGGTGATCCGAGACGTGAGAGAATATATAAATAATAATTAATAATACGCTAACATCTCATGAAGAACTTTCAATGTTGAACTCAACTCCTTCACGTGAAAAGCTCATCATGTCAGTTTAAGTTAATTCTAGCGTAAGGTTGTTGAGTTGAGTCATTTGGTAGAACGTGGAGTTTGTTGTTCGAATCCAAAACGCGTCATATAATGGAGGTTTATAGGTACATTGGTAGAAGAAATCTAGTAACTTCAGGTGAAGAATGCAGAGATATAGGACACCAAGAGCTTAGGAAAGAAGTACTGGTCATGATGCAATACTGGTACAAGATACCGTTGAGCCATGCCTGCTTAAACAGCCTCTGATGCTTCAAAGAAACGGCTGGCGCAGATACCTTGCGAAATTGTGGAATTTCACGCGCTAACTATTGAAGTGGAGGGTGATTGAATTTAATATATTACTGAACGCACAACAAAAGTATTCTGATTTCGAAGAGCGTCAAGTGTTTGCCAATGGTGCTTTGCACTATAATACGTCTTTTATTAATGACAATAAATCGCCACAAAAACGCTTCGTTAACTTACTGCATATATGCCTGTAGTTTGAAAGAGGCTCATAATGAGTTTCTTCGCACAATCCATTTGA